AGCAAGGAAGTGAATGAGAGATAAAGAATAATTGTGAAATAACGAAGGTAAGAAACACACGGACAAATAAAGAAGCAACAGATCACAAACCCACACACGCACGCACGCATCATTTTATTTATATTTATTTAGTGTTCTGTCTGACGACAGGTCCGTATGAACAGGATCCTTCCATCCTTTTCTCGGACTGGGACCTGTTCATATACGTTCTTGGCAAATGATCCAGAAGTGGTTTGCCATTGCCTTCTTCTGTGTGTGAATGTAGTAATTGTTGGGATGCCACGGAGGAAAACTCCGTGTTGCCTAGACCACGGCCTTGCCCAACACAAGTTATAAATTCGGGCACCGCCGGGAATCGAACCCGAGACCCCAGGATTACAGGGCTGGCGTTCTGACAGCTAGACCACTGTGGCGGCACGCATCATATACACTGAAATTACGTACCCGATAATATTAAATGAAACATGACTTTTTTTTATTTAATGAGCCAGTTTATTCCCCATCGACTGCAAAAAGAATAATTCAACCAATGAAATTTTTCCTGTATTTATTTAACCTTTAGCTACACATTTATTCACTTAACCCATTCGCTGGGTATATACCACTATTATAGAGGTTAAAACACGAAATGATCCCTCCCTAAAACATTCCTGCAATTATCCACAGTCCAGGAATAAAAGTGTCGAAAGTAATTACGTGGTCCAGTCGATATTACGTGTTTCCGGACCATATAACATCACACAGCCCGCAGGGCACAGCAGCATGGGGGCAGACCTAAGTCGTCTGTAACACGCCAAGGTGAAATTCGGCTATAAAAACCTAATATTCCAACAGAAACTCTTCTCTCCATGCACCCCGTCCGTCTTACAGCAAGAACGATCCATGTAACTAGCGTCCACTCTACATTTTTTCGTGCAGTGCAAAGTTTCTGAAAAATGTTTGCTTTGTCCCAGCAATGCTGTCGGCGGACGAAGACAAGATGAATAATCAGACACTTTCAGATCCAGTACCGGTTCGTGTTAGGACCTTATGATGAATAGCAGGCTTTATCAGAGAGCCAGTGAACAATCAAGCGGAAAATCAATGTGTACGGGACGAACAATGTCGGGTTAAAGAGAGCGTGACTAGACTGAATAACAATAATCATAATAATAATAATAATGGGAAGGGCGTGAGATTTCCTGTTCTCACAGCGGCGAGAATGACGCCTCCATCTTCAGGGGATTCTTAGTGACAGGTCCATAAGAACTGCAGAACCCCCTATAATTCTTCAAAAATTGAAAAAAAATATTTTTTGTGTTTGTATAATTTGTAACACTTTATTTCCTCTATATCATTATTTTAATATTGCCCCTTACGTTGTCATTATCCACTAATCGGCTGAACCGATAGTAAGTCCACGGGCGAGGAGCGCGAAGCAGAACGGGGCAAGGATTTCAGCGCGGTTAGCCTGTCAAAAGTAGACAGCGTATCGAAGCCGGCTTATAGTAAACGCCTTTGCCCGGTACCACGTGTTTTAGACTGGTTTCTGTATCACGAACTGTTTCGTGGTTATTGTTAATGAGTGTTCAATAATTCTGTGCGCTATTTTTTGTTCTGATAATGATAATGAGCAAGGGAAGTGTATCATAGCTATGGCAAATAACTTATTCTAAATTGTCTTTGAGTGAAAAAAAGTGATAAGTCGCAGTGAAGTGTCGGAGAAGACCTGGGTAAGACCTGCGGAATTTCAATCATCATGGAGAAGTGCTGGAGAAATCCAGGAAAATTTCTGGATAAGTCGTAGAGTGGTGTAGGATAAGTCCTGGATAGTTTATACGGAATTTTATTGGTCATGGAGAAGTGCTGGAGAAATCCTGGAGAAGTTCTTGAGAAGTCCTGGAGAAATTCTGTATAAGTCCTAGAGTGGTATAGGATAAGTCCTGGATAGTTTAAATAGTCATGGAAAAGTGCTGGAGAAATCCTGGAAGGTTATGTGGAATTCCTAAAGGGGCGTTGGTTTTTATCTTATGCGGGTGTTTTTTTTATTATTCGTTTAAGTTTCATTGGTATAAGTTATGTTGGATTAGGTTGGATTTTATTGTCTTACGTTGGGTTGGGTTGGGTTGGGTTAGGTTAGGTTAGGTTAGGTTAGGTTAGGTTAGGTTAGGTTAGGTTAGGTTAGGTTAGGGTTGGGTTGGTTGGGGTTATGCATGAACAATTCAGTACGTATTCTATAGACTCTGGGTGTGTAGTTGCCTGGTTTGTTCTTTGATACAGACAACTAAAGACAGCAGGAGACTTAAAAAATAATACCATACAAGGAGACACGCGCAGACGCGTGTTGGCGATAAATGACAATGAGCTTTAGAAAACTCAATAAACCGCCACAAGAAACCACGTTCATGGTCTAGGCAAAGCGGAGGTTCTTTTCTAGACAGAAACAAGGACGAGCAGCTGAGTGAAAGGAGAGCTAAGGAGTACATACAAGGAAGAAGTTTTCAAAATTCACTTCAGCTAAATTACACAAACGGGAATAAAATGAGGAAGCGGGAGAAGTAGCTTTGATAGTCCAGGAGAATTATCAAAACTCCAGTGACAGAAGAGTTCCTGCACCCCCGCACCCCCCGCCTTACATCGAGATTTAAAGGCGTGTCTCAAGTGTCAAGAGATGTAGACACAAAACGAAACAGAACGACACCATTAAGTGTTTAACGTCGATGTGATACAGCAGCTGCAGCATCCAGGACAGACAGATCTCCGTTCAGAGACATAATTACACCACTCGTGAAGTGCTTTTGTATGTCTGTGTACACAGTTCTGAATTTAAAACGTCGCTTGTTGTTTTGGCATTTGGACAGGAGGAGAGAGAGAGGGAGGGAGAGGGATGGAGGGAGAGAGAGAGAGATCCTGGCTGATCCCTTATCTACATCTGCTGACAAGGATTTGAGATTTTCACGGCGGTGAGTCCGAAGATGGCCGTCTTCTATTCTAGGTTGTAGTACCCTGTAGTCTGACCTCCATCATCAGGGCGATCGCCCAAGAAACAATCAAGGTCGAAGAGATGGAGGATCATATAGCATGCATCGGTGGATAACAAACATGTCAGACAGGGTAAAAGGAATACAAAAGTCTCATGGTAGGGTCCAGTGGCGGTTTGTAAACATGGCAATGAACCTTGGTATATATAAATAAGCAACTATCAGATTTCAAGAACTGTCATGGGCAAATGATTACTTTGGAACAAGTGCCTAGTTGCACCGAAGGATGGATATTTTGTAGCTGAAATCTCTGCGGCAAATAAAAACAAAAATTTGTCATCCTCTGTTCTAGTCCGTTGGGGATTGTAATTAAAAAAACATGTTTCAGCAGCTCGTTCACGACATTAGGCCCGCTAATAGCGCAGCCTGCTGGTGCAGTCGCCTGCATGAGGCAGTAAATACCTCAACTGCCGTGCCCACTGCAGTTCCAAGTCAGAAGTTTGCATAATGTGAACTGGCTGCATAAATTACTTGCCGTTTCTACGACGTGCAACCTCTAACAGAGGCACCAGACAACCAACTCCAAAATTAAGAGGGGGGAAGGGGGGGAGACCCTTCGAGAATGTCAAACAATCATATGCGAAACGTCAACAAAACTTGCAAACTCAGATATTACTGACAAATTCTGTTTGTATAAACACAAACCCGCATAATAGAATTTAAAATTACCTATAACCTGGTAATAACTGTTACCAGTTTAACGTTTCTGCGATCCCTAGTGATCTCCCCCAAAACGACGCCACAAGATCACAAATTCTAGACAGAAATGAAACGCATTTTATGCCAAATCAGCTTTCCCTTAAGACTGTCGGTTTTCGGGATATGCCTTGCGACCTCACAGCTGGTTGGTTTACTAAAGCACCAAAGCTACA